ATTTGGTGCTCAGTCAGCACTGGTGGGAGGAAGGGACATGTAGGTTCCTGGTCTCTCCACTTCCCCTTTTCCTCCCATGAGCTTGGCAGATGGCAAATGTGGCCAAAAGGCAAATGTGTCCTCTTTCTCCTTTGATTCTCTTTTGCTCCTTGTCCGTTCTCACAGCCCTCTCTTCTGCCTTCTCCACTTTCTTCCTCCTTTGTCCTGTCTCACTCTTCCCCAGCAAAGAGAACCAGAGACTCATGGGTAGGCCCCGGAGCTCTTCCAGTCCCACCACTAACTAGGTTGTTAGCTTGTACACCATGTGTCACATGACAGTGGTCCCCAGAACAGTTAGAATCCTACCTCTGGACTGTGTGTGCAAGAAGGATCCACCCACTTAATCTACATGACAACAAACCACCCCCATTCATAGAAATAAACCCAGGCATAGATAGGTGAAGCAACTTGCCCAAGGCCACACAGCTGGGCATCTGGGTTGGCCTGGCTCTGATAGCTGTTCCTGTAACATCCGTGCATATTGGTTTAGGATTACCGTGTGCTCTGTTCTAGCATCTGGGGATAGAGCAGCGGACAGAAACATTTTTCTTGTTGTTAAGTGCCTTCAAGTCAGTTCCGATTCATAGCAACCCTGTGGAGGGTTTCTGAGGAGGGACTGGTGAGCTTGAACCACTGATCTTGTGGTTCAAACTGACCTTGCAGTCCAGAGCATTAACCCACAGTGCTATACCAAGACTCCATATGTTGTTGTTTTTGTTGTTAAGTACTGTGGAGTTGGTTCCGACTCATATTGACCCTGCACAGGGTTTCCGAGGCTGCAAATCTTTATGGGAGCAGAAAGCCTCATCTTTTTCCCACGAAACAGCTGGTAGTTTTGAACTGCTGACCTTGAGGTTAGCAGCCCAATTCGTAACCACTACGCTACCAGAGCTCCTTTATAGAAGGGACCCAAACCAAAATTTCCATGGAGTCAATTCCAACTCATAGTGACCCTACATATGTAGGGTTTCTGAGACCATAGATCTTTGGGGGAGCAGACAGCATCATCTTTCTCCTGTGGGGCAGCTGGTGGGTTTGAACTGCCAACTTTTTTGTTAGCAGCCCAACACCTAACCCTCAGTGCCACCAAGGTTCCATTCTAAAGGGGAAGGTTGACAATAGAACATACCAATACAGATGTCTCGTCGTGTGGTTGAGGGAGATAAGTCTATGGAGAAAACTGAAGACAGGAAGGGCGAGGGGGACGGATGGGGTGCAGTTTGTCATCTACAAAGTGGGGAAAGGAAGGAAGTTCTTGCTGGAGAGAGGCATTACAGCAGGGAGTTGGAAGAAGGGAAGATAAGCCACATGGGTATTTGGGAGCACAAGTTCCGGTAGAAGGACCAGTAAGTGTAAAGGCCCTGAGGCCTAGAGAATCCTGTGAAACAGTTCTACTCTGTACACATTGATGCAATGGCAACCAACAATGATTCAGATACAATCATATACCATGTGATTCACCCACTTGGACATGTCGGATCCACTGACACATTCAGAACTGTATAACCATCACTACACTGAAGTTTAGAGTGTCTCATAAGCCCCCCAAAGAAACTCTGAGCCCGTTCACAGTCATTCTTCATCTTCTCTCCCCACTACCTTCCCCTAGAAAAGGACCAATGGACTTCTTGCCTGTGGCCTCAACTCTCCCAGACATTTCACATGAAGGGAATCCTATAAGATGTGGCCTTGAATGCCTGGCTTCTTCCACTCAGCATGTTTTCCAGGCTCGTCAATGGCACAGCATGTGTCAGAACTTATTCATATTCTTGATCCTGATTAGCTCTCCACTGTATGGGTAGACCACATTTTGTTCATCCATTCATCTTTGGTGGGTTCCATTTTTATCTGTGGTGAATAGCGCCACTAGGAAGATGCATATGCAAGTTTTTGCCTGTGTACCTGCTTGTGATTCTTTTGGGTGTGGAAACCTAGAAGTGGAGTTGCTGGTCAGATGGTGAGTCCACATGTAGCCTTTTTGAGGGGCCAGCCACAGCCTCTCTGGGTGAGAGTTCCCACTGCTCCGTACCCTGGCATGGCTGTCGTGATCTTGATTGTGAGAGGCCGTGAGTGGAACAGGAGAGACAGGGTCTGACTTGGCTTTTTCGAGCCCTCACACCTGTGCAGAGGAGACTTCCTTATCATTCTGCTTTCTTCCCTTCTGCTTCATTGTCTTTTCTCACCCCAGCGAGGCCGCTGTCAGAAGCTTGACTACGTCCCCTTCCTAGGTCAGCAGGAAAGGCTGCGCTTGGGCCCTCTTTCATCTCCCTTGTGGCCTTGGGCTTCTTGGGTAAGCAGCACGCACACCCGGACCTTGAAAGCTGGGTAGTAAACTCAGGTCAGACTGGGTGACATGGTCAAGGCGAGTGGGTGCTGGCAGAGGAAGCTCGGCATCAAGGCTAAGGCAGACCCCAATGCTCAGGGAATTGGCGCATTTCCAAGAACAACAGACGTCAATGAACGCAAACAAGCGCCACAGTCAAAAAAAGCTCTGCAGTGTGAGCCTCAAAGAGCACCATGAGGTTTTATCAATTAACTGGTTAGTTAATTAATTGGTGAGTTGATGGGTTGACAATGATGAATGAATGAATGAATCAGCCTTTTCAGTGGCTGGGGATACAAGGACTTACAAAAACCGACTTGCTTTTCTCTCAGGGGAGCTGAGGGAAACATCTGATAGAGAAGCAGGGAGGCAGGTTAAAAAACTAAGGCTTCTCTGAGTTGAGGGTAAGTTTCAGGAACCCCATCTTCAGCAGGAGCCTCAAACTCAGAGGAGCAGGGTGGGAGAGCCAGGTGGGACAAGTGGAGGACTGCAGAGGGCATGTGTTACCACTGCTCCCCACACAGTTTTATGTTCTTGGTGCACTTATCATCCACAGTTACCCAATCCAGGGCCACTCACGTACCCATCATCTGTCTCCATCTTCATTAGAAAACAGACACTTCTTGTTGGCTCCGGTGTTCTGTGTCTTGGTTTCCTCAAATGTAAAATGAAGCCGTAACGTGCACTTAGCATAGGTCCCAGCTCCTTCATTCCTTTAAAAATGGTTCCTGGGAGGGGAGTTTTCCCTGTGGGGCAGAGTTCTAGACGATGGATGCTGTATGGATGCTGTTGGGGCTGAGGGACAGACTGCCTGCTTCTGGTGAGGAAGGAGATGGACAGAATTCAGAGAAACAGGCTTCTGTCGCACATGTCAGGTGGTGCTTAGTGATAAGAAAGGGGCAGAGGGAGGGGATTGGACACTGTGAGAACATGGCTGGGGGAGGCCTTGTGATAAACAGACATGGGACAGACAAGTGGAAAGCTGAGTGGTGTGGAGGGAAGGGCACAAAGACCCTGTTTGCATCAGGAGCCTCCTAGGCACATTCTAGGAGGAGTGAGGTTGGAAAGCAGTGTGTGCTTATGGGTGTCTGTGTGAGTGTGTATATGTGCCTATTGCGTATACATGTGTGTATATGGGTGTGTGCAGGTGTGTAAGCATATGTGTAAATGTACACATATGTGTTTGTATACATACGAGCATACATGTTGGCATGTGCATGTGTGTACACTTTTATTTGCGTGTGCATCCAGGTATATATGCACATGTGTGTGAGTGTGCAGGTGTGTATATGTGTGTATTTGGTAGGTTCATCTATGTGTGTGTATATTGCATGTGTGTGTAAATGTGCATTGTGTACATGTGTAAGTATGTATTTCATGTGCATGTGCTGTGCGCATGTGAACATTGCACATGCATGTGCATGTATGTGAGTGTGTTGCACATGCACATGTATATTATATGTGTAATTGTGCATTGTATGTGTACATGTGTAGTGTGTGTGTGCATCATGTGTATGTATGCGTGTGAATGTACTTGTGTGTATGTGCATGTGGACAATGAAAAAAAAGACCGTAGAAGAATCGATGCTGTTGGCGGAGAATATTGAAAATACCATGGACTGTCAAAAGAGCAAACCTATCTGTGTTGGAACAAGTACAGCCAGAATGCTCCTTAGAAGCCAGGATGGCCACACTTTGTCTTGCATACTTTGGACTTTTTATCAGAAGGGACCAATCCCTGGAAAAGGGCATCAAACTTTGTAAAGTGGAGGGTCAGCAAAATAGCGGAAGGACCCCAGATGGGTTGGCACAGTGGCAGCAGCAACGAGTTCAAGTGTAGCAAAGATTGTGAGGTTGGTGCAGGGCCATTTCATTCTATTGTACACAGGGTCTCTGTGAGTCGGTACCAACTCGACAACAGGTAACAGCAACAACATATGTGCAGGTGTGCATGTACATGTGTGTGAATATGCTCCGCATGTATGTGTATGTAAGTGCTTAAGTGTATGATGTGTGTATTTGTGTGTATGTACATGGTGTATATATATGTGTGTATGTGTATTTTTGTGTGTATGTGTGTGGAGGGGAGCTGAGATTAGAGAGGGGTGGGGTGGTATTAGACCATTTTAAGGGCGGTGGCTTTCCTGAGTGAGCTGGGAAACCCCTAAATGTAGTGATGACAGAGGAGAGGGGAAGGAAGGGGGGAGGGGAGGGAGGGGAACGAGAAGGAAAGGTGAGAAAGACTGGGAAGGAAGGAGGGGGAAAATGAGGTAAACTGGAAGGGGAGGAAGGGGGAGATAATGGAAAGGAGGAGGAAAGAAAGGAAGCCTGGTGCTCCTAGACCTCAGCGATCTGGGAAGAGGGCTATGGGCGGACCCTGGGGGCGTGTCCTAGAAGCCTCGCTCCTCCTCCGGTTCACTTCTGATCTACGTCCCGCCTTCAGCCCGCCCCCGCCACCCCAATCCCGATGCCCTAGGGGAGAGAGGGGGCGGTGCGGCCGCCTGGCCGGGCCGCATAAATCCTCTGACCACCTGACGGCCCTCTCCTCGGAGCGCTACATCCCGCGCCCTGAGTCCCCGAGTCCCTAGGTCCGCTGCCTGGGTCCCCACAGCTCCGGAGCCTGCAGGGCGCCAGGCGCGCAGACATGGGCAGTTGCGCTGGAGCGCGCCGGGCGGCCACAGCGCTGGGCGTCATTGGGCTGCTGGGCGCCGTACTGGGTGCTGTCATGATCGTGGTGGTGCCCTCGCTCATCCAACAGCAGGTCCTCAAGGTGCGTGTGGTAACTATGGGCTACAGGGACACCTAGGGCCTTGCTGAGGGCCAGAGCAAGGGAGGGCTGAGTGAGTGACCCTGGGACCTGATCCTCAGCACCCCGCCATGCCGGGGTCTGTCTGCGGGCCACAGACCGGGCTGGGAGTGTGGCCCTAGAGGCGCTGGTAAAATGAGCACTTAAATCTGCCTGCTTCCTGTGGGCTCCCGGAGGTTAGCACCACGAGGTAGGTAGTGTTCAGAAGCCCGCCCTCCACCGCTGGGGATTATCCTACAGTAACTGCGCTGCCCTTTCGTCCACCATCCCCAATCAGATTGCAAGCACAAACCGCTTTTCTCCTTCCAGGCACGCTCCAACCACCCCACCTCCCTTTTGCCATCAGGGGCGTTGGAGTGCACACACCTCTGGCCCCACCTCTGAGCCTAACCTTGCACCCCACTGCCCTTTTAACCAGGCTGACCAACAAAGGCAGTCAGCTGGCCTTCAGCCCCCGCAGACTCTGCCCTGGGTGGCCCTCTGGAATGAGTTTGGAGTTACCTAAGGGCAGGGAGATTGCAAACCTTTCAGAGTGACATGGCCAATGGGGGCCAGTAACTGCTGTGTCCTGGAGGGGAACCTGAGGCTTGCCTGTGCCCAAGACCCTATAATGTAGGCCAGAGAGTTTGAGTTGACTTGGTGTGGACCTTGTCCTGCTAGCTGGCTTCTCTGTCCCCAGGCTGGATCCCCTGTGGGCCTGAGTTTCTTAAGCGTAGGAATGATCTGTGTTGTATGCCTTCCTCTCTGTGCTCAGCAGAGGCAGGGCCTGGCACAAATGGGCTTGGGGAACGAGTGAAGATGCCTCTTTGTAGATTCCACTTCCACTTCCTGGCCTTGTGTGGCTTTGAAGATCAAGCATTTTAAGATGGGGCAATACTGGAACTGTGTGAGAGGTTGTCTAAGTCGCCTTGGCTACATATATGGTGCCTTCCTTTGATTTGGGTTTTTCAAATCTTTTCCTGTTAAGTCTTGGAATCTGATTGCCAGAAGGCCCCAGCCTGTCGATCCCCTGGGTGGTTTGTTTTTGGTTTTACCTCTGGAGTTGGCTGCAGAAAACGTGTGGACTGGGAAGCCCAGAGCTACAGAACTGTCTTCCCTGCCACAAGGTTATGGGCTGTTTTCACTGTTTGACTTTTCAAAGGCAGCTGTGTATCCTGCCAGTGTCGTGGCTTCTGTGATACTGGGATGATACTCTATGCAGACAGCAAGCAATGCCCTGGGCTCAATCACAGAGACTACCTGTCTCTGGATCTGCCTGCTACAAAGGTTGCTTACCTCTTGCTTTGGGGGTGTGGGGGTAAGTGGGGTTTATACCAGATGAAGAATCTTGTCAACCCAGTCATTCTAGGGCTTATTTCAGGGTGTTTAGTTTCTAAGGCTGTGGATCAGGTTAAGGATGTTGGGTGGAGGAGGGGTTTGTGTGTGTGTGCACGTGCATGTATATCAAATCCTTCCATTCTTCTCCTGCTTCCAAAGAGGCCACATTGTTCTAGGTGTCCCAAGAGCTGGGACCCCTGGGTGTGAAGCTGTGTAGGAGCCTCCTAGCATCTTTGGTTCATACCCCAGAGGAGGCTGGGTTTGGAGCCAAGTGGTTTGAGGGTGGCAAGGCAGCCCAGTCTGAGCCAGCTGTCCCTTGGGAAGTCTGGGCTGGAGCTGTGTCTAAGCACCTTCCCATGGAAGAAGAAGGCCTGTGTTCAGGGTACAGAGTGGCTGGGATGCTGGGCAAGAAGGGAAGCCTGCCTGTGTTTTCTTTGGTTGCCTGTGTCCACAGGCAACTTGAATGGGCAGCCTTGTGCGTTTGTTTTTGTTTTTGGTGCCTTTAAAATTTTTTCATTTCAAAAAAAAGTTCAGTTAGAAAAGATACGAATACCGGCAGTTTAAAAAATTCAAATAGAAGATAAAAAGAGAAAGTTCCCTCATTTTGTTCCCCTTGTCAGCATTTGCTACCACCGTCACTGTAGATCATTCTTTATACATCATGAGCACACAAATTTATATGGCTACATGCACTGAGAGATGCTATGCATGTAGTGTGCTTTTCAGTTCGGTGAGAGACCTTGACAACATCATATGGATCTACCAGTCCCCCCCACTCCCCTCCATATCTCTGTAGTATTCCTGGGATGGATATACACTTACTTAGCAGTTTTATCTATTAATTCATGATTTTATCCTGTTACAAACAATAACAAGTGAATATTCTGACACATGTCTCCTCACTGTGTGCATTGTGGATCACATGGCATATAATTCATTGATTCAAAGTCCATAATTCTGTGTTTGTTTGTTTGTTTGTTTTTAGCATAGTCACAGAGTTGTCAACCACCACCACAATCAATTTTAGAATATCTTTATTAAACCCAAAAGAAACCCCATACCTGTTAGCTATCGCTCCGAGCCCTCCAATCCCCAGTTCCCAAACCTTGCACGACCTCTAAGCTACTGTCTGCGCTGTTTAAGTTTTAACGTTGTTATAAGTTTCTGTTGAGTTGGCAAGCTTCTGTAGGTTGTTCTTGTTGTAAAGTGCCATCAAGTCGGTTCTGATTCAGTAGCAGAACGAAAAGCTGCCCACTCTTGTACCATTGTCCTCAACACTGATACATTTCAGTCTTCTTGTCGCAGCTATTATCTGTCTATCTCATAGAGGTTTTTCCCTCCACCTTACCAAACATCATGTCCTTTTCTAGTCTTTGTTCTTTCCTGGTGATAAATCCAAAGTAAATAAAGCAGTCTCCCCATACTCACTTCTAAGGAACATTCTGGTTGTATTTCTTCTCAGATTGATTTATCTGTTCTCATGACAGCCCGTGGTATATCCAGTATTCCTCACCAACACCATAACTCAAATTCTCCTCTCTTCTTTTCTCAATGTCTAGTTTTCACATGAATATGATATGGCTGAAAAAACCAGGGCTTGGGTCAGGTGCGCCTTAGTCCTCCAAGTGACATCTTTGCTTTTTTAACGGTCTTCTTGTTGCTAAATGCTGTCTACTTGGTTCCATCTGACAGTGACTCCATATAGGGTTTCTGAGGTGCGATTGGTGGGTTTGAGCTACTGACCTTGCAGTTATAATCTAGTGCTTATCTTACAGCGCCAAGACTTTGTGTAATACCGTAAAGTGGACTTTTGTAGCCGTTTTGCCCAGTGCACACATTTGATTTCTTTCTGCTGGTGCCATGGGTGTTGGCTCTTGATCCATACTGAATGAACTGTAATAGATACTGCCAGCTTGCCCTTCTGCAAACTACCATTTATATTTCCAGCAATAGTGTGTGAAAGGAACCATTTCCCTCACTCAAGCTATCACTGAGGATTGCTGACAGATTCTTTTGTTAATCTGAGGGGTTTGGTTTACATCTCCCAGGTTGCTGCTAAGGTCTAGTAGGATATGACATATTTGGAAACCTCTGTTTGTGTCTGGGACACCAGCCTTCCAGGACACTGGACCTCTGTGAGCTGGGTTCTTTTCTTCCTCTTTAACCTAGGCCTCAGATGTTGCCTGCCACCTGGACGAGGCTGCGGATTGGCATGTCCTGGGTGAGCCTGCGTTGAATCTTGTAGAGGTGTTGTAATTTCCTATATATTTTAGAAATGAGTCCCTTGTCTGATATGTCATTGCAAAAGATTTTTTCCCATTCTGTGGGTTCCCATTTTACTCTTCTGGTGAAGTCTTTTGATGTACATAAGTTTTTAATTTTTAGTATGTCCCACTCCTCTATTTTGTCTACTTTTGTTTGTGTGGTTTTCAAAATGTTTTGTAGTCTGTGTATTCCGTGAATTAGTGCTCCTGCGTTGAATCTGTGGCAGCTGTGTGTATTGGACTGAGGGGATAGTCTTTTTCATTCCTACAAATAAGGAAAAGGGAGCACTGCAAATGTTAGAGACTTGCTCAAGCTGACACAGTTTGTGGCAGTACTACTGGGCAGGAATCCCCATCTCTGGTTCTTTGTCTCCTTGTCCTTTCCCACAATACCTGCCCAACAATAACAACAACAACAAAACATGTTTACTGAATAGGATACTTTACCCTTGATTTCTCTTTGCCCCATGAGGTCACTGCTAAAACCATTGTCCTCATCCTTTCAATTGTCACAGCCAAGGTGGGGGGTGGGACTGGTTTCATGTCTCTCAGGGAGGCAGTGGTGAGGCCAGTGTGAGTTTGGAGCCTATTGTTCTTACTCTCTGAGCCCCTCCATGGTGCCCACATTCAAAGAGCTGAACTGCGACCTGGAAGCCTGGAGATTCAAGTCCCCCCAGAGGCCCCTCAGAAGAAATGCCTGGCAACCTTTGTCTGAAAACTCAGCCATTGGAAACCCTGTGGAGCGCAGTTGTACTTTGACACACTAGAGGTTGCCACGAGAGTCACTGTTCACTCGACAGCAACTGATACTGATCACTCTCTACGCGTTGGCTGCTAATCAAGAAGCCAAGCAAGGAGAGTGTGCATGTGTGCTTGTGTGTGTCTCTGTGTGTGTGTGTGTGTGTGTGTGTGCGCGTGCGCGCGCACTCTGTGTTTTGCTTTGACCACCACGGAAGCACGAAGTAGGTGGGCTGCTCCCAGCACAGGCCTGCTTTTCCCTTTTGCCTCTAACCTTCTGATCTTGATCTAGCCCAGAGGATGGGAGTGGAGGCTGGTGTTGGGGGTTAATGCAGAATTTAAAAATCAAACTCATTGCCACCATTAAGAAAGTGAAAAGACAATCGCCAGGATGGGAGAAAATATTGTCAAGCCATGTATCTGCTAAGGAACTTGTCACTAGAATACTCAGTACGGGCACACCTAGAATTGTGTGCCTCACTTTACCACACTTCGTAGACACTGTGTTCTTTTACAGGTTGATGAGGACCCTGCAGTGAGTCAGTCTATCAGTACCACTCAGCACATGCCCCCTTCATGTTGCTGTATCATATTTTGGTCATTTTCACAATATTTCAAACTTTTCTTATCATACGATTGCACACT